TAAAGAACAGATTTCCAAACGTTTTCCCATCGTTTGGCTAATTTCTTGTTTCGCAATATTTCGTGATCGATTCTAAGCATTACTTAAAGGCAATGAAACTCTGCTATAACAAAATATTTGTCTAAACTTGCCCTACACACGATTGATGGATTGTATTCATAATTTACACGGTGCATTAAAATAATTACTTGTACAAAGATACAATCACGCTACATAGCTATAGCGTTCCCTTTCTAATGTTAGGTTTTTGTCAGTAATCGTCCGTGACGAGTGACGACTGACCGGTTAAAGAGTAACGATCTAATGGAAGCATCTTGTTAAGTTTTATACCTATACGAAGCTATCTGTACAAAACAATTAAAGGTCTACTAACTCATCATCATCAGCTCACTATACGTCCCCACCGAGGGGCTCGGAGCCTACCCTAAGTTAAGGGTGATTAGGCCATAGTCAACCACGCTACCAAGTGCGGGTTGGTTGACTTCACATATATCATTGAATTTCTTCTCAGATATGTGCAGCTTGCATCACGATGTTTTCCTTCACCGTGAGTACGTCGGATAAATGTACATATATAAATCGGAAATCGAAAAACACATTGGTACATGGCGGGATTCGAACCCAGGACCTGCAGATTGCTAGTCAAGTGCTTGACCCCTGAGTCTAAACGTCTACTAACAACAAGAAGTAAATTCAAAAATACGATGTTATTAATAGGAACACTGTGTTTTTTGAATTATTAGACATATTTAACGTTTTGTATATTACAATTGGTAGACGTCACTTGAATACTTAGTGTCCGCTTACTCATCCATCATTCTTTTAGTATAAAAGTAAAGCCTTAAAAACATTTCTAAAGTCAATGTTAAAGAGAAAAAGAAAGAGTATTTTGTGCTAAAAAAAAAAATAATATTGTAAAAGTATTTACGTTTTATATTCTTTGACGTATTGGTATGGATTCTTTGTGTATTAAATATTCTCAGTGATGCCGCAGCGAGGGTCGGCAGAGCTCATCAATATTTCACGCTATAATAAGTAGTCAAATCAGCTTCATTTCTTTACAAAGTCGTACTAACGATCAAACGTTATTAAAGTCAATATTTAAATATGAACTATGTATCCCTTTCTTACTAATTCCTACTTTTTATATTTGTAATTATTATTTTCAAATGATATTGCCCGATAATCGGGCTTATTTGTTTTATAAAATAAACTAGATTCTTTTTTAATAATTTTTTCCCAGACTTCAGAAGCATTACAGTGATATTACATTTAACAGTGGTAGAGCCCGCTTTAACATCTTCGCACGAATCGGCCCGGCTCGCCCGGTGAAATACCACAACCACACAGAAGACAGGCGTGAAGTGGAAGCAATTCCGCGATTCGCCTGATGAGTGTGCGCCACGAAGTCCTAATTTAGCCCTCTTTCCCTTCCCACCCTTTTCCTTGTAAGGAAATGATGGGAAGTGGAAGTGGACTTTCCGGATGAGAGGATGCACGGGAAAATATTTTCTTTCCGTGCATCCCCTCCTCCGTCGATTAAAGGTAGGCAACGCATATGTAATTGCGTATGTCTATGGGCAACGGTCACTTCGCTATTTCAGCGATTTCAGGTAGCCGCTCGCTCGTTTGCCATCTTATGATATAAAAATATATATAATACATATATAAATTATTATATAAATTATATTAAAATATATTAAAATATATATAAATTATTTGGATAAATTAAAAAGAGTTTAGCTAAGGTTTTCTTAGAAAGCCAAAGTTCAAAGACTCGGGCGTCACATGGTAGACGATACTACGAAGTGGTTACTTACATACTCTTTGGACGATATGAGCTTCAAATGTCATGTGACTGGCAACATAATAAATGAGTAAAAAATTTATAGAACTGCCCAAAAGATATTGGATAAGTTTGTTAAAGATAATAAATATATTCAAGTCTTTACTTTTACTAAAACTTCAAAATATAAATTGGATTTTAGTCTATTGATATTTTGATTGAAAATTAATTTATGCACATTAATTCTATTATTTTCGCATCAATCTATATTTGTAAGTTACAAAACAGAAAGTTACAATGAAAATTGAATTAAATAAAATGTGTATTAGGATATGAAAACATTTTCTCCAAAATGTAATATCCTAACGTGATATCCAGACCACCTTTATCCACGGGATTATTAAAAATTCAAAGGGCGAGATACCTTTTTTGCAGTAATGTGGGTCGTCGTGTCGCAAAGGGCTGAAAGCCTCAAAACGTGCCCTTAATAAACCTCCCTTAAGACGTGCAAAGATGCCATCCTTGGTCCTTTTTACAACCTATATGTGTCGGAATACAAAAAATATAAAGTTTTACGACTTAGCGATAAGGGTAAAAAGTAATATCGACAAAATTATAGTATTATTACGACTAAGCAACGTGTTTTTTTATAAAAAAAATATTCGTACATAGAAAATTTTAAAATAATAATTGTGGTTGTGTTTTTTAAACTACATTAAATTAATTATATAAATCGTTAGAACAATATCTGCCGCAAACAATAAGTGGTAACTTGGCCCGCCCATAAATCTACACTAAGCGACTGTTTCTGTAACTAATAAACGTTTTTGGGTGTCGCAGTAAGAACACTTCTGTTAGTAATACAAATATAGTCCAACAATAGTTTAAAAATATAATTCACGTAGTGTAAAAAACAATTATAAAAAATAAAGAAAGGTAAAAATAATCGCAATAAGCGACTGTTACATTTTTAATTTAGACATCAAAGGAGGGCACAAAATACGACGGAAATTCTTGTGAGCATTTTCCCGGGAACATGACTTAACCCTCCCGCCGCCGTCACTACCCAAACCGTCTCTACCGCCCGCCGCGGGTGACAATCACACGGTCAATTGGTTGGAAACGCGGTTACGTTTATTGCTTTTTGAAAAGATGAAATTTTAAAATAGAGTACATAAGCTTAGATTCCTAAAATCGAGAATGAAGTAAAAAGGAGTTTTAGTAAAGAACGCTTTAAAAAAAAAAGGTTTTTAAGTCTATTGCCGTATCTTTGACAAAATATAGATAACAATTTGATTTAACAGGAATTTTGGCATCAGAAACCCACGGTAAATAAGTTTCACGCTAAATATTTGAAACTCTACTATATTTTCTTAATTATATCTCAATATTACAATAAACTAATTTTAAACTAAACTCATGTAGAGTAAGAGAAATTCCCTCAATCTAACATAAATAAACTTTAAACAAGTTTGAATTTGACACAAAGTAAATATGTTTATGCAAACAGCCAACAGATGTCGATAGCTATCGTGCTTTAATTAAACATGTAATCGAACCCCGACCTCCCCATTGTAAACAACATCGACGCATTGTACACTAACTTGTGTTGCGAGAAAGTTTAGCATGGGTTTCCATTGAGAATCATTCGTAAAATAATTGCAATAAAATGGCGTAACGCTCAAGCTCTCTTTTTATACAAAATATCGATAGAAATTGTTGTAAACATGCTAGGAAATAATCCCCTAATTCCCCCAAACTTAACCTAGTCTACTGCGGAATTGGTATAAAATTAAAATAAATAACAAGAATCTTTAATAGGAACTAAATAATAGTTATAGAAATATTGGTTTTCTCAAATCTACAGTTATTTTTAACGATACATTAAAATTAACAGAGAAATTAATATTTATTAAGTTAATTTAAAAACAAAGAACAAGAGGCAAATACCAAAATTGTGGGATACGATTATTTACAAAGGAGCCATCAAAATGTCATTCACCGCTCTTTACATGTAGACGAAACACTCCATTTAAGGTTCGAAAATCCGATAAATCGCAAAAATTCTTTTACGTCTATAGTTGAATGGAAAGCACTCCAGAGGGCGACGCCTTAGCAACAGACAACGCCCGTCACGAGAAACTTTATACGTCCTTCGAACTTTACAAAATAACGTTTATTCTCTTTGTTTCAATTTTAATATCATTTTACAAGCTTTTGTATGACTTTTATGTGTGACTACAAATTGAATTACATTTCGGATTATTCGCGTATAAAGTTACTACGACAATAATTATAATTCCTATTTTTACTTTGTTTTTTGTCTCTATTTTTTCAAAGACACTGAAAGGGACGACAATATATGATAAAATGAAATTTGTATAATAACAAGAAAGAAAAGCGTCATTTGATCACTAGTTATTTTTTGCAGAGGAAAGTTTAAATACCTTGATAGTTCTGTTAAATTCCCTTTTGGCAAACTGTTTCGCGACAGATCGCATGTCGAAGCCGCGGCGGGAAACCGCAGAGGGTCTTATAGGAGTTTCCCCTTTTACAACGCAAATCGATAGGCGCATCCTACTGAAACTGTTTCCATTGAAACACGTGACGGCAATATCATATAGATAAGAGAAAAAAGCAAAAATATTTTTTTATCAAATTAAAGCTTGCTAGTTAATAAGCCATATCAGTAGTGAATCCTTAGCCTAGTTGTTTAGGATCTTAAATCCTTAAAACGTCTCTACCGAGTACACAATCAGGAGGCCCTTAGTGTAAATTACTGTTAAGTCTAAGTGTTCGTCTTTCAGCAGTTGTATTAACATTGTTTTTGTATGGAAACGATTTTTGGGTTTGTCCAGAATTTTTAAAACTTTTTTATTTTTTATATTAAGGATATACAAATAACAAACCATCTGAGATATAACTTGAAGCTCGCTAAAGTCAATTTAACGAGTTTCGGAGCACTGGAGTTCGTGAACTGGAATACTTAACAGAGAAACTTTAAAGCTATTTGTTGGGAAAGCTTTAATTTTCTCTGACCAATGTTTTTTAAATTTCGATACGTTTTTTTCACTGGTGGTTTACACTTTAGATACTAAAATATGCATGATATTTTTTGGTGTCCGTTTTAACTAAGAATTTTTAAGTAAATGAATATATAAATCTAAATCTATAAATAATTACGTTAAGGAACCCTGTTTGTAAAATATTTTACCTGCATCTCTGGTGGTCCACCTTCGTCTCTTATAAGCAGAAGATAACTGTGACCGTCGATTATTACTTCTTTTTTGAAACGACCACCTGAGAAAAAAATGTAATTGATTTATCGCGACATCTGTTTTTGGGTTTGATTTAAAATTTATAAATAGAGAAATATTTTACAGCGCCATCTTACGTCCAGTGCTGAAATAATTACACTAAGTATGTTGTGAGTAGTTACAACTTTTTATAAGAGATGGCGCTTTCTTTTCTTTTTAAAATGCTTCCAAAATTTAAAATATTTCTTTTAAATAAACTTACGGACTAACTAAAATTTTGTTTTCAAATTACAAAATCATACCTTCTGGACTTTCCTCTTGCATGTAAGCCCCAGTGAGATATCGATGTACCAGAGCTGATTTTCCGCTGTCTGGAGAACCTAACACACCCACTCGCAGCTCTGTAACACCTCTTGATGCCGTCCATTCTTGACTGTTGACAAACGAATCTGCAAAGAAGAAATATATTGATTTAGAATTATTAACAATCTATGTTCGTTTATAAAAGTAACTAGTAAACATTTTTTAATAATTTATAACAATAAACAACGCACGCCATCTCTTGGCAAAATGTACGTAATGCCACTGATGCATTCTTTAGTTAAAAAAGATAACATAGATGGCAGCAGCTGTTCAAAGTAATTACATTAGTATTCAATGAAATAAAATTAAAATTTAGCACTTTGATCAAGGCAAATATATCAATACTTTATGGAAATGTAAAATGCAGTTTATTTCCATACAGGAAACAAATTATTCCTGCGTATATACAACTTGCAAACAACTTTCACTGGAATATTTCCTCAAAGTATGGTAAAACAGACTTGTCGGTTTGTATTAGAGTTCAAATATAAAACGATATATAAAGTTAATAAAACATTCTTCCTACTGACACCTCTGTAAACAATCTATGCCACAATATTGTGTTTGGGCAAACTGTTGCATTAATTATGACGTCAACACAGATGACGTGAAGCAAACATTGTTACTATGTGCAAAAGAAAAAAAAACTTTAATCGCGTATAATATTTATAATTGAAATTAAATAAAATAGCAGTTTGACTCGTAGAGGATTGAAGAGTACTCTAGACACGATACTAAATAATAAGATTACTGGTATTTTACTATCTTGTCTTAATAGGCTTTTTTGCTTTAATTGATTTATTCATAACAGATTGCCTTTTACTTAGTTTATAAGAAAAGACCTTGACCAATGATTTGGATAAGTCTCCACATGTAAATAATTTTAAAGCAACTTAAGGCTAACTTATATTTAACTTAAGACAGGGGTCTTGACAGACGGACGGATAACAAATTCATCCTATAAGGGTTCCGTTTTATTCCTATGAGGTACGGAACCTTAAAAACTTTGCACAACTATTTCAATCCGACTTTGATATTTCGTCATGATCAAGAATGTGACAGTTAATAAAAAAATCGATTATAAAGGACAATGTACTAGCGGAATCGATTCTAGTATGAAATGAGGCAGAACGCGGAATGTCAACAGCAAAGATTTTATCGAGAATCGCAAAGTACGTTGCGTAACGCGAGGCACGCTGTACGTCAGTTTGTTACAGTAGTTATTGAGGCTATAAAATATACGAGAAAAACTATGTAAAATACCTTTTCGATACTATTACTTTTAAGAATTTACGGGAAAAAATAAATACAAGAGGCCTAATTTTAGTTCTCTTTCCACCCTTTTCTTATCAGAATGAAGGGAAGGAGATGGGGATTTTACAGACGAAAGATGCATAGAAAAGGGAAATATTATCTTTCTGTGCGTCCTACGTCCCGCGCATTTTCGCAATTTACACGTAACACTAATCTTATATATAAAATTCTCGTGTCACAATTTTCGTTCCCATACTCCTCCGAAACCGCTTGACCGATTCTCATGAAATTTTGTGAGCATATTGAGTAGGTGTGAGAATCGGCCAACATCTATTTTTAATCCCGCGCGGACGGAGTCGCGGGCGACAGCTAATAATATGTAAATTACAATATAGCTAGTTCAGTCACTTAAAAGTACTTTATGTCAACTCTTTTTGATATCTACAAGAACATAATATGTTAACGTGTTCTCGTAAAATTATATTATTACAAGGTGATTTGCAGTCTCAAGAAGACTGGTTTCGTGGCCACAAATAATCCTAGTTACGCTTCACAGTACATAGCGGGACGAATCGCAGACTGTCGCACGCCGTCTCGCAATGCCAGCAACATGCACAGGCGACAGTTACTCAATACTGCACGACAATTTACTTGACCATTTTTACGATTTCATAACTATGGTTATCATAGTTTTTAATATAAGCTAAGTAAACGCTATGTTTTACGTCGAAAACTAGACGATTAGTCAGTTAAACAAAAGTGGGTCTTGATAGACAGATAGACAGACAAACAAAAGGATGGACAACGAAGTGTTCCTATAAAGATACCGTTTTTTCCTTTCGACGTACGGAACTCTAAAAACTGATTTGTAATTTATTTAAATGTATTCAATTAGGAGAATATTTTAGCAATATCCAGCTAGTTTTTAACTAATTATTAGTAAGCAAATCTTTTACCACTCAACAGAGTAAACTAAAGATAAGCACTGGTCATAAAACATAACTCAAATACCGAATGTTTTACTAATATAATGTTTACTAAGAATTGTTTATTCTTTACCATTCAAGTATAAAAAGTTACAGCCATTACGAAGTAAGAACGTGACGTAGAGATTGAACCGCGCACGTTTTCTTAAGTAGTGATCGCATGTTGTTTCGTTAAATGACCCTAAGGAAACCATTAACTATATGACGTTATGACTTTAATATGTGACTTATGTATGACATAATTGTAATAAAAATACTCATGAAATAAATTGTTTTTTTTCTTTCCTTTAAACTTTCTTGAGACATAATCTTATGTATATAATACTCATGTGACAATGTACTTCTCCGAAACGGCTTGACCGATTTTTATGAAATTTTATACTCATATGCAGTAGCTCTGAGATTTGGCTACTATTTATTTTTAAATCCTTCGCAAACGGAGTCGCGGGCGTTAACTAATTTATTACAGAATTCTAAATTTAAAGACAAAGAATTTAATTCGCTTCCCACTTATGATCGAATGTCTCACAGGCTTACAGCTAATTGTCACCATAGGAGTTTTATTACGTTGTATTTCCGAAACGTAATTTGACGGTCACTGTAATTTTAGTTTTATTTATTGTCCATTGGACCGCATCCATTCAATACAGGAACAATGCTGTGACCTCGTGTGGTAAGCGATACAGCCTCGGGGCAACCTTTGCAAAGCATTATTCTAAAGCCTTCACTATAAATACTGCTTAGAAAAAGCAATGCTAAACCGAGACGGCCAAGACTATGATTAGTTTATGAAAAAGTGGCTGTCGCCCGCGATACTATCAGCGCGGAATTAAAAAATACATAATTAGTAGGTTATGTGTTCTTCCAGGCTATGTTCTACATCTATGCCAAATTTCAATGAGATCCATGCAGTCGTTCTGGAGATATCTTCTAAGAAACAACCATAAATCATCAAACGATCGCATTAAAATTTGTAAATCTTATAAATTATCTTCTTACGCTAAAAAAAGGGATTTGGTATCTATAAAGTCTTAGTACAAAAAGTTGTTTTTAAACTACGTCGTTTTACAAGTATCAAGATTGAAATTCAGACAGACAGTCGCACAAGACTATCAATGCAATTGTTTGTAAGTAACATTCCTCTATAACCCTTAATTATCAACCCTTTAAGTGAAGTGTCTGCCAAACAGGCCCCGCGTAATACTAACAGCATGTTTAAATAGTCATTTCACACTTTTACGAGCGCCGTAAATACATTTTCGAAGGGTCTCAAGGACTGGGCGGACGATTAGCGCTAAGGTCAATGGGACCCCAAGATGTGTGTTTGATTTATAGCTAGTTTGTTGACCATAAAGTTAATTTACTGCGGGAATCGTGTCTCTGGGACCCCTAAATACGGTTAATACTTTGGTTGTAATTGCAAACAGGTAACTCAGTTATATTTCTTGATTGTATGGTTTTGAATCTGTACATGCACGCGCGGTGTTTTTTAACCATGAGTTTCTGAAGCTAAAATACTCATTTAAAAGATATTGTTATCACTGTTTTTTTCAAAGATAATGACAGGGAAGACAATATGTTAAGTACAGACATTTTGGTATCGAAAACAAACGAATTTATTGCCAATTTTGATGAAATAAGATTTGACTTACAACGCAAATAGTTCGAAAACTTGCAACAAATGATTATATAAATTGAAGAACAATTATTTGCAAAAGTGTCAACTATTCAACTTTTAAAGTCTGAACGAAGATTAAGAAAATACAATAGATTTTTTTGTCATATCAAATAGTGTCGGCTATAACTAAAAGCGAACGTTCATTCGAAGTAAAACTAATATCGGGCAAGGAACATCAGTCTGTCCGGACAAATGATTCTATTGAATGCAATAAATTGTCAGCCGAAGCGTGCGACATCAATGGACATATGTAGGTCAGACATCTGTCGGGACGATACGCAATGAACCTCCTTTAAATGAAGGGATGGACAGGAACTGATACATCGAACTGAATTTATTGCTTATTATAAAGATTTAAGAGGTACTCGAAACACGGCGTGACGTCTTGTATTATATATGTGGTAGGAAAAAAAATTACGGCAAGGAATTGTGTTTTTTCTGGCACAGAATCACCTGGTCTAAAATTTGTTCAAATATTGACAAGAAAAGAAAAACAAAATGGTTTTGCTCCTGAAACATAATTCAAAATAGTTCAGGAGCCAATGGTCTAACTAAAATATATTAAATGAGTTTCACGATAAAGGTTTTATTATTATTAATTTTTTTATAATGAATTGCTGATTATCTTAGAAGTGACCAGTATTATTGTGCATGACGTAAATTGAAACCCTTCATAAAAATATATGGTTATCCTTCTCACTGTCCTTAAGAAAGAGAGAGAACAATATATTATTGTCGTTGCGTCGGCAATGAAAACTAACGTCCATGTTCATTTTAAATACTCGTTAATATAATTTCCAGCATATATTAATATTTAGAACGTAACCACTAAAGGGCATTCTTGTAAGGATTCTATTACACTAAGCGTTACGTAAGTGTACTTTTTCTAACCTTTACGCCGCCGGACGTATGACGGATGTTACTCCGGGCGCGAAATGGACGCATTTCCTCCTCCCATACCAATGCCAGATGTGGGAAGTTTCCGTTGTGTGGGACCATATATGGCTTTTACGACAAACTGTCACTGAAGCAATTTCTTTGCGTGTAGATTGACATTTTTTTCTAGGAATATAACGTTCTATTTTAAGTAGTTGAGTTTTTAAAGGATCTTAAGAAAGGAATTTATAATGTAATTAAGTTATATTTTAAGTTAGTCTAGCCATTTAAA